TGCTGGGAACGAGACCCGTAGTGACGCGACCATCGAGGATGAAGCCGGGAACGAATTGCTATTGGAGTCGGGACCACTTCAAGAAGAAGATCTGCCTCAGTCAAGTTTTGTAGAGCGAGTGTCGATCGGGGGTGAGGAGACAGCTTTCACCGGCGTCTCGTCGCCCATAGTGGACGTCGTTGCTAAGAGAGTGGATAAGGGTGAGCTGCGGTACCGAGTGCTGACGGCTACGTACGAGACCTTTTGGTTACCTCGAGCGGCGCTGTTCCCCGAGTTCGGAACCATGATCAGCGTCTTTGAGGAAGCAGACCGCAAGAAGAAGGGTCTCCCGGAGATACGTCGGAGCGTCTGGTTGGTCGAAGCCAACGCTGATGTGGACGACGCGAAAGTGTTGTTCTAACTGGTCCTCTGATCGGTTGGAACGAGTGAAGCTGGACCGCTTCACTCTTGTTGGTGTTTGGGAACGAGTGAGTCTCGAAACACTGGGCTGTATTTTGCATTTACATATTGGAACACTACGAAAAGGGACACTGGGAAAGTGACGTGGGGTATCGACGGAGCTCAAGACCCTTCGACGGGATGGTTATGCCCGGGATTGACAAAGTTGGAACGAGGAAAAGTTGTCACGAGGAACGATATCGACTAGTTGGACAGCGGGGAACGGTAAAGACTTGTAACGCGGAGATTAAACGGATATATTCGAGACGAAGAAACAACAAACGGAACGAGGGATGGGAACGAATCCGAGCGAGAGGCTACTTCTTGGTAGTCTTCCCCTTGTCGGCTGAAACCTTCTTGGGAACGACCTTCTCACCGTCTTCCCGGTCGTCGGCCTCAGCCTTATCCTCCTCCTCGTCGTCTTCGTCGTCTTCCCCTGGTTTGTACTCGTCTTCGTCGTCCTCGTCGTCGTTTCCAGCTTCTTCGTCATTGTCCTCTCCGTCGTCAGCATCGTCATCGGCACTAGGGGAGTCAGCAGTAGTAGCGGTCACGGCCGTGGAAGTTGGAGCGGCAGCTTTTGCCTCGTCTTCGTCGTCCTCTTCGAGATCAGACCAGTCGGCACGTCGGCGTTCCGTCTTGGTCGGTCCCTTAACTTCGGGGAGCTGGTACGAGCCACTCCCCAACTCGGTCGCGACAGTCAGCTGGGTTTGCTTCACCAGGGCGTTGTCCATAAGGGTTTTCCAAGGCTCGTCACTAGTGGACCCCACCCAGGTGTCGCGTGGCGTCGCGGAGGACTGAAGATCGAGCCGAATGCGTGCTAAAGCCACCATGGAGAGCCGATTGGCCGGCTTGGCCGTAGGGACCAAGGCCTCGGTCGTCTCTAACAGGACGCGGATACTCGGATACCCATACGCGTCGATCTGCACGGGCTCTAGAGCATTGTCAATGGTAGCCTGGTATCGTTCCGGATCCTTGTCTTCGAGCGATGTTAACGTGTCCGCGAGAGGTCCGTCGTAGTGCAGGCACTTCTTGTTGTCACGACCAGGCTGACCTCCATGCAGAACTTTAGAGGGCACTTGTCAAGGAGCGTGAGGAATCCGTAGAAGCCCCAAGTTTCGATGCACAAACTAATGAAGGCCACTCGAGCCTGTACGGCGCGCATCTTGGCCTTACGACGTTTATTCTGCGCCGTCTCCGACGCCAAGGGCGCGTACAAGGCCCATTCCCAGAACGCTCGACGGTGACACATCCTGAAGCGCCAGTGACCCCGATAAATCGCGCGGATTCGAAGCGGGTTGTATCACTGCGGGCGCCCAGTCCAAGGATAAGCGAGACACCAAGGCTTCTTTCCGGCCGCTTCCGCCTTTGCCAAGATGAAGTAGACGGCCGCCTTTACAGAGTCAGGGGCGTCGAGGTTCAAGTCGACCAGCGCCTTGTATTCGGCCGAAGGAACGAGCGAAGAAGTCGGCTTGTCTGGCTTGTCACTGCTCCGCAGCTTCTTAGACGACTTGATTGGGGGTGGCCCGTTGCAAGTTTTCCGCTTGCCGCGAACAGGCTTCTTTGCCGACGAAGTGAAGGAGGACGTAGAAGATATTTAGCAGGAGTGGACGGCTCGGGCGAGACTCCTGACGTTGACGGCATAGCAACCACAGGACCGCGCAATGCGATGGAAGGTCGACCTTCCAGGAGATCGTCGACCAACCGCTCCATGTGCTCCAGACCAGTGGAGAGGCCGTTGCCGCCCAAGTGCGCCGTCAACGCGTCCCAGAACTCCCGCTTGATGGTCTTAGCGTCGTCCCCTGGCGTTCCATGCTCGTCATACTCTAGGGCCGCGTCAAAGAATCGTTTGAATCGCCGGCGCTCCGCGACAGTGAGGCGCTTGGACATGCTGGCAGCTGAGAAGCTGTAGCTGGGAGGTGTTCTACGTGGAGATTGTTGGAAACTGAAAGATACGTCGCATTTGCTCGGATGATGGCTGACGGATGTTGGAAATAGGACGTCCGCGACAGGGTGCAAAAATGGAGCGAGATGAAAGGAAACGACTTGGGTGACACTGACGCCACTTGGGAAGGGGTGTCAACGGACGACGCCAGGATGACCTTTCCTAACTGACGCGGCGCCAGTCTGAAATGATGGAAGTGCTGAGGAGCTGGGTCGATGGAATCGAAGCGGTGGCTCCTGTCGTGACGTTCCCGGAAATCGAAACAGGAGCTATGGTGGTCTGCGCCGTAGCCGGGGTAGTAGTATGGGTGGTCACGACGCCTTTACGCAATGTGGGATGGGCTTTCAGTGCGAGCCTGATGGACTGTGGCTCTACCGTCTGCTTCTTCTGGTATACTTGTAGTGACCGATTCGTCACTACCGTACGTGGAGCCAACGCTCAAGAGCTGCACCCTAGAGAATATGCCTGCACTTTGGTCACGCTGATGTTCCTCGTTCCCATGGCTGTGTTACGAAAGGATGAACCCCGCTTCGGCATTTTCGGACTGTTGTGTCTCAGATGGTGTGAGGCGTGGCACCACTCGATCTGCCTCTTCGTTCCAGATGTACTGCAACTTGTGTGGACGTCGTGCTGTCGTTACACGAAGGCGATAGCTGAGGCTTCGGTAGCCTCGATCGATCGAGTGGGCGAGTACCTGATGGGCGTGTGTCTGGTGGGACAACTGTTATTGTCGCTTGTGTTTTACCTGCCTAGAGTATTCTATGAAGGCGTGGAAGGTGCCCTATGTGGTTGGATGGGCGTTGCCTTAGCTACTCTAGTGGTGGACGTGATATTGGAATTCTCGGTCGCGAGTCTCATTGGGAACGTGTTCGTATTGGTACTGGGCTGTTATAGCCACGTTACGAGGTACTACTGGTCGTCGAGGGTGAAGACTGTCGACGGCTCTGGAATTGAGGCCGCACAAAAGGGTTGGGCTAAGCTTGAAAGTCGGAAGGAGCTACGAGAAAGGAGAGAGAGGGCTAGCCTCGACCATTTGCGTGCAGGTCCTAATGATACGACCGCTGAGGCGCAAGGAAATTCGGATTCGACGTCGATTGGAACGAGGTCGATCGTTCCAGATCTGCCGGTCGACTCGGCGATTGGACCTGCTGGGAAAGATGAGGCTTGGCGAGGACTCCGAGCGGCAGTCGGGGAGAAATGTCACGGTCTTCGGCTAGAGGAAGGACTCGCTATTCTGGACGACTGCCTACGGCAATTTAGCGAGCGGCGTAAGAAGAGTGTCAGGCCCGATCAGTCTCGTTCCCCGTCGCCGACTACCTCGTCCCTTGTCTAAAATGGAACGAAGGAGTTCAGACAGTGGTACGCTGACTCCGTTTACGAACGACAACTAGAGGTACTGGTGCTGGTAGGAGGTACTTTGGCAAGGTAGAGGGCTGGTGAGAGAGCTCTCAGTCGTGAATTTCCTTCTTTTACGAGAAGTGCTCAAGAAAAACAAATAAGATACAAGTATATTTTACACATCTAATACGTCTAAGTTCCTACGTCGGCTTTCACAAGATACACGACCCCGACAAGAGAAGGAGACCGCGACAATTGGCGATGGGCGGAATAAGAGCAGACAGTCATTGCAGACCACTGGACCAGTCGCCTGCACGTCAGAATTGCCCTTATTCCAGTGACTGAAGGCAACCGACACTATAGTGGCTATTAATAGACTTCCTGATATTTGTAGGCGTCGCACAGCTTACGGATTGATGAGTATTATACTGTAGGAGGTGAATTAACTTAAGAATCGGGCATTACTATGGACTCGGAGTACATGTACCAGTCTTGCCACATCACACTTTAGACATTATCTTTATGATACGACTGGCTTAGATTCATTAAGGTTTGCGTACAATGCCAAGTAATGTTTGCAATTTTGAATTTTGTGCCAAGAGTCAGTTTTTAACCAATTACTACCGTTCCGAAGAATGGAGATCGTATCACTGGATTAAATAGGATTGCGGTGTCTACCCCATAGACGTCATCATTAGCTACATGTGATAGTACTGTACCGGTACAGTAGGAGCAACATACCGGTACCTAAATACCTGCTGCTCGAGAAATTATTTTTACAGCGGTAGACATTTATGTAATGACGTCGCGGAGGGATACCAATCATACGGTTAGAAAATGCTGGTGCGTTATGCGAACCTAATTTTTCGGCGACAGTATAAGTTTTTTTACTGGCCTCTGGGTACCTTTTCTGCTGGATTATGGTAGTGGCTTTACCATAAACCAATAGAAAAAGTCTGCCTATCCCATTACTTGTCGAACTGTATACACCTTTAAAATACAGTACAGTACAGTATATATTAATAGTATGGTTTGCTTCGCATGAACAAGTGACTCGGAACGTAATAGGTGGTTATAATAGGATAGTATGGACTTAGTTTCGTGAGCATTTATGTGCTGGTGTTCTTTTCATTTCTAACGACTCGACGAAACACATCGTTCATTTATCGCGAATGCCCACTGGGCATGCATAGGTACAGCCTGTCATATGAGTGCTCGGGGGAGGGGGCGGGGTTAATCCGTTCCGTGTCACTTCACGTTTTGTTCACCTGTACGCAAGACGATGGGCTGCCGGTATGCTGTGCTCGCATTAGCTGTAGCTTATTTCGCAGGCTCGATCGCAGCCAACGATTCGCAGATTGTCGCTGTTAAAGGCCCTGCTTCGATTCGATTTACACCTGCAATCCATGTCGTCCGTGGAAGGTTCTTGAGGGCTGCGAACACCGCTGACGAGCGCAACGAGGACAGGGGAATCAATCTCAAGTCAATGCCTGGCTTCGAAAAAATAGCAAGTCTGTTCACGAAGAAGAACACGCCAGGCCCGCTCTTAAGTTGGTTCGAAAAGAAGAAGTCACCGGACTACGTATTTCTTAAATTAAAGATTAACAAGGGCAAGCAACAGCTTTTTGACCACCCCGACTGGAACGTCTGGGTTCAGTACACGACCAGTGTGGTGAAGTCGGATCCGGAAGAAGCAATGATCGCCGCACTGAGGACACACTACACTGACGATATTCTGTCAAAGCTTCTCGAGTCGGCCAAGAACGTCCCGAAGACTAGTGGACTTGCCACCAAAATGCAAATGGAGCATTGGGTGGCCAGCAAGACACCGAGCCAAATGTTTCAGTTCCTTCGGCTTGATAAGGTCCGCAACGGAGTCCTCGACGACCCGACGCTTTCCATCTGGATTAACTACATGAAGCTGTACAATTCCAAGCCAGTGAACAAGAAGCAGCAAGTGACTTTAGTCAGCATGCTGACAACACACTACAAAGATCGAGGAGTGCTGGACATCATTGAAGCGGCGAAGAAAGTCCCGAAAACGGCTCCCGCTGCGAGACAATTGGAAATGGAACAAATCCAGTTTTGGTTAAAGAATGGCAAGTCACCGGACGAGCTACTCACGGTTTTGTCCCTCGATAAGGCCGGAAACCAGCTCCTCGCCAGTCCGCGATTCAAATTTTGGTCCAAGTACGTCGACAACTACAACAGAGACTTCCCCGACGAGGCTACAACCGTGATGGCGACTTTGCGGAACCAGCTCGGCGACGAAGACATCACGCCAATTCTAATAGCTGCAGGGAAAGTACCAAGCACCGAAAAGGCCGCCGCTAAACTGCAGGCCGAGCAGTTCAAAAGCTGGCTACGTGAAAACGAAGATCCGGCGAAAGTTTTCCAGCTGCTAAAGCTCGACAATTCAGCGGATGATCTTCTGGGCAGTCCACAGTTTAAACTTTGGGGGAAGTACGTGGAAGATCTCAACTTGAAGCCAGAACACAACGACCTTCAAGTCTCCATTATCACCATCTTGCGGAAAAACTATGGCGACGATGTGCTGGGGAACATGGTACTTGCTGGGAAGAAGGCTCCTAGTACGAGCTTTATGGCCCGACGACTTGAGGACGAGCTCTACAAGGGATGGATTGCCGCAGGCTCGTCACCCGACGGTGTCTTCAAGCACCTGAAATTCGACAAGGCGGGAGAAAACGTGATCCAAAGCCCGCTCTGGGGCCTGTATACAAAGTTTTTGGAGCACTATTACAAGTCGTTCCCGACGCCAATGATGTCGGCACTTGCGAAAGGCTACGATGGAGATGCGCTCGCGAAACTTCTCATTGCAGCGGAGAAAATCCCGACTTCGAACACGCTGGCAACGAAGCTACAAACTGGCCAAATTCAACGTTGGCTGGATGATAAGGACCAGCCAGGAAAGATATTCAAGGCGCTCTTGCTTGACGACATGGCGGACGACATTCTCACCAGCCCGCTGTTCAATACCTGGACAAGGTACTTGGATGAGTTCAACAAGAAGTTCCCTGATGAGAAAGTGTCCATGACGGACACGTTCCGCACCAGCCTGGACGATGAAACTTTGAAAAGTTTACTCATCACAGCAAAGGAACTTCCCGACATGAAAACGCTTTCGACCAAGCTACAGACAGTCCAGATTGAGCGTTGGTTGGCGAGTAAAACCTCTCCGGAGGATGCTTTCGCAGTACTCGCACTTAATAAAGCAGGGGGCAACGTTCTGTCGAAGCCATTGCTGAACACGTGGGCGGCGTATCTGGAGAGTTTCAACGCCAAGTTCCCAAGATCGCGAGTTTCAATGATTGACACATTTAGAGAATTTTTCGGCGACAAAGCGTTACTGACTACGCTAGCTGCGGCGAAGGAGGTTGAAAGCACCAAGAAAGTGGCGACGAGTTTGCAGGATTCGCTCCTTTCGAAGTGGGTACTGGCTAAGAAACCCCCAAGCGGCGTAGCTAAGCTGGTGGGGACGGATGAGGCGGGCGCGAAGCTACTGAAAACCTACACCACCAAGTATATGGAAAGATACGGGCAGTGATACTCTAGGCTCGCAGCTAGAACGTAGGGTGAACCATAACTTACCGATATTAGACTTGCAACCACGAGCTTTGTTATTTAAAACGGTTGCTGATCTGTAAAATGGCAACTCAGATTTCAACAAAGGATAAATGCCAGCGCAATTTTAGATACATCCTAAAACTAGTTGGTCAAGGTTCACAATACCGGTTACTGTGTACTTATCAATGGGCCACTCCTCATTTGAGTGACAAGAAACCCCAAACATGAGCCGAGATCATCGTCTGTCACCCTCTTTATCCTCTGTTCTGTAGATGTTTCTTTTGACTAACCTCTGATCTCCCGCCATGCAGGTGACAAGGGCCGTAGCGAGCGCAGACGACACGCTAGGACGTCGTCAAGCCACAGATCCAGTCGTAGAGACGAAGAACGTTTGTCTAGACATGGGTCAAAACTGCCGAAGGGAGCTAAAAAGATCACAAAAGAGGACTATTTTCTGTGCCAAAAGCAGTTTCGCGTGTGGCTGGCACAATCCAGGTACGTGGCAGAGTCGGCGATTCTGCGACTGAGACCAAAAATGGATCTCATTTGTGATGATTATTTTGCAACGATAGGAACAAATATGTCGATGACCTGTCGACGGACGAGGCCATGGAGCTGTTCACGGACGAGTTTGCGAAGAAATGGAACCGTGGGAAGCTGTCCAAGATGTTCTACCAAGGCCTCCCCGACGCTGTGGTGGAGCAGACGAAGCGGACGCGTCATCAATGGGGTTTTGTGTCTAAACTGGGAGACAGGGAGAAGTTTGAGTTGGCAACAGCCAAAGATTCGGTGGATGTAGCCACAAAGAAGAAGAACTTGCTGGTGTCTGACGAGAAAGCGAAGGGGGGAAGAGAAGAAGAAGAAGGAGACAGGAGCAGGTCTAGACGTCGAGCTAAAGAGAACGGAGAGGGCGATAGAGAAGGAGACAGAAAACGTCGCAAGCTGGAGCGTAGAAGAGATCGAGAGTACCGAGACGTGGTGATGGATGAACTCGCGCCCAGAGCGACGGGAAGAGAAGCGCAGATCGAGAAGAGACGCCAAGTTGGAGACAAACTGCACGGAGCCGCGAGAGACCGGGAAGATACGCGAGATGGACTTGATCTAAGTGACGCCTTCTTGATGGGCGGAGGTGGAGGTGATGACGATCTGAAGCGCCGCATGGCTCAGAGGGATGTGGCACGACGTCGCAAACAGGAAGAGCAGCAGGACAAACTAGCGGGTCTGAAGGTACGAGGCTTTTTTGGAGAATATTGTAACGTGGGTTGCCGAGTTGATGAGGTTGTGCTTGATCGTGCTGCTAGGCGAAGGAGTCGGCGCGTATGGACAAGTTTTTGGAAGATATGGGCCTTGCTGGACCCAACGCGAATGGTGGCAAGCCCATGACCATTGCGCCTCGTCGATAGACACTCGCTGCATGGATTCTCGAAGGACGTAAAACCAAGGAAAATATCATCTGTGTAGTATTAGATACGCGGTAGTGTGGGTTGTCAGTAGCTTCGCGCTCGCTTCATCCGCCCCAAGCTGTTTGCGTACGACTGCTGGGATTTTCTTTGCAATAATCCATGTGTTGATCAGTGAGCTCTCAAAATCGGTGGCGATGTTCTTGGTGCTTTGAACCTCCTTCGCTGGGATCAGCATCTTCACGAGAGCTTTGTCTCCAAAGAATTCCCGGAAAGTGTCAACCATTGACACTTTCGATCTTGGGAACTCGGCGTTGAACTCCTCCAAATACTTGGCCCAAGTATTTAGCAACGGGCTGGACAGAACGTCGTCCCCCCGATCATCAAGCTTTTTTTAATATATCCGCCGGGGTCTTTTTACTCGTCAGCCAACGCTGGACCTGCTCACTCTGCAGCTTGGTCGTAAGCGTTTCCATCGTTGGAATCTCCTTTGTTTTGACCAACATACCCGCGATCGATTTGTCATCAAAGCGCTTCCGCAACGTATCGATCATCGAGACTTTGTCTTCCGGGAATTTGGCGTTGAACTCATCCAAGTACGTGGCCCAAGTGTTGAATAGCGGACTGGTGAGAGCGTCATCTGTTGCCTCGTTAAGCTTGAGGGCCATGAAGATCTTGGTCGGCCTGTAGCTTTGTAGCGAGCTTCTCCGTTTGTGGCACTTTCTTCGCTGCAATGAGAAGTGTTGCCAGTGCGTCGTCTTCGTAGTTTCTCGCAAATGCTGATATCATCGAAGTTTGCCTATCTGGAAACACTTCCTTGTGGTGCTTTGTATACATGCTCCAGAGAGGGCTGGCAAAAGCCTTTTCACCTGCCTCGTTCAGCTTGAGATTCTTAAAGACGACGTCTGGAGTATTCCCGTGCAGTATCCATCCTTTGAAGAGCTCGTCTTCCACTCGCTGAGCCATGTCCTTCGTGCCAGGAACCTTCATCCCCGCAAGAATCATTTTCGCCAGCACGTCGTCGTCATAGTTGTCCCGTAGAATGTTCCTGTAGCATACTATCCATCATTTCGGACCAGAGGTAGTAATAAGCGAGACTTGGCGGTCGTTGTTTTCCGCCTTCAGGTTGAGATTCTCCACATAAAATATTATTTGCCCCAGTACTTGAGCTGAGGGTTGACTAGAAAATCATCGCCCGCCTTGTCGAGTTGCAGCAATTGAAGACCTTATTTTTCTCCCCATTCAATCAACCCACCTATGGAAACTTCGAGCACCCTCCAAAAGGCTTTAATTCCACCACAAAAGGTGTACATTTCTTAAGCTATAAGCTAGACAGCTTATAAAAAGAGCGGTTTGCATCAGATGACCGCAGGTATTAATCTATGACAGGAGAAGTTGGTCCAACTAATAGTACCGATTAGCAATTTCTTCAAACTTCGAGAAAACGATTTTTGTTTCTTCAAAATGATTTTTGGGGCTCACTCCATATTAAGCTCAGCTTCTACTTCACGTACAACCGAGTTTAAACATCAAATGTGAACGCGTCGGCCTCGCACCTCTGTCGCTGGAATCATGCTAGATTTATTGATATGGAGAAAAGCATTCCGTCTTGCTTCTCTCGCATAGAGCTTGGCTCTCGTTGTTGACTTGCGCACTTGTCTCGCTAGAACAGCAGCTGATTGGTATTCTCCGAGAACTCCGTC